CAAACTTGCTGAGGGTGCTCTTGATCCCAGTGGTTACATTGATAGTGCTTTTGACTGTGCTGCTTGTCCCAAGTAAAGCAAAGTGCAGAGGGATTTTGCTGGTGATGCCTTGTACTGTTTGTCAGTGAAACTCTGTTGCTATGAAGTCTGATTGCAGGATTGTGTGTGTGCAGCAGGAGGCAAAACTTCCGACTTTCAATTAATGTTTCTTTTTTAATCTCATGTAATTTTGTTCACCTCTTGCTGATGAAGAAACGTGTATGATACAGGGAGCATAATAAATTGAATTTAAGAATGAACACTCTCTGTGTAGGCTGATGTGATTTTAGTGACTAGCTGGATTCTAAACACGTACTGTTCAGTACATTTTAAGATTGTTGTGATGAGATTAAAATACAAGAAACTTTCAAAAACATTACTCCTATTTAAATACATACAAGTTTTGACTAATGAATGCTATATTTAAAAGGAATCCTCTCACTCCTGAAATTTTGATTGTATTGTAAGTCTTCTGGGTTATAAATTATAACATTGTAAATCTTTTGGGTTGTGGTTATTGCAAGAGAATCGAATCCAACCAAAATCTGTTCAACTGATGTTAATATTTCTAAATTATTTTGTTTAAAAAATAAACATGCAAACTTGCATCATAAGTGCCTATCGCATTTGCAAAAAAACTTAGACGTCTGTAGAAACCCTTTTAGTAGTTGCTTAAAAATATTACTTGTTAATATTATCTGTAATGTTCCATAATAACTTTTACTGAAGTTCTATGGAAATTAACGATCTGTTTTAAGCATATAACTCTTTGTATATACCCCCCCTCCCCCCCCCAAAAAAAAAAAAGACAACAGGCAGATAAAAAGAAAGGGAGAATTATAATGCTCCAATCATTGCTTTGGTAAATGTAAACTGACATGTAGAAAACAATTTGAAGCAGAGAGAGGGAAAAAAAAATTGGCCTTGAAAGTTTAAGCTTGGCAGGTGGTAGGATGGGGGATTGGGTGAATACGCACATTGATAGGGTGCAGGTGGGCAAAAGTGTTTTTTATCCTGCCTTTTTCAGGTTACAGTGTTGAAAGAAGGCAAGCTTCCTCGATGTTACCCTTGAAATAACTACTTTTATTTGTATATAAATGACTTTAAAGTTTTATTTAATACTGTATAAATAACAGTCTTTTTTCTTATTTTATGCAGAATCAGATTCAGTACCTCAAGCAAGTCCAGCAGCCTAGTGTTGCCCAACTGCGATCAACAATGGTGGACCCAGCCATCAACTTGTTTTTCCTAAAAATGAAAGGTGAACTGGAACAGACTAAAGACAAACTGGAACAAGCCCAAAATGAACTGAGTGCCTGGAAATTTACGCCTGATAGGTAAACAAAACAAATACTCCCCAGTCAAGACTTCCCTGACAGTCCCACTACGAGAATGCTATGGTGGGACAGCCAAGTACTCGTTTCCACACCAAGACTCAGACGTTTTGAGGCAAAAGCCACATTTTTATACTGTCCAGCTTGTAATGCTTAATGTAAAACTTACCAGATGAACCTTGTGTTTCAGCTTTTTTCTCCCCCTTTGCTTCAGAGGCCTGACGGCGTCGGACTATTCTGAAGAAATGGCCATCTTCGAAAAAAAATCTTTTCTAGAACATGTAGACATTTGCAAAATTGTTCTATTTGAAGAAAATAGAGGGAGAAACAGAAGTCTTAAGTCTGTGGCACACTGTGTCTACAGACAGTTTGGAGGAGAGAGAACCTAGAGATTATAAATCATGAATTGAACATGTAAAATTCCCGTAAAATGTAGAAGTGGAATATGCTTCGCTCTTAACCTTGAGCCTAGTGACTTAGAGACACTGTAAGTCAGTTTTGCCAATAAGACTGTGGACTTCCTGCTTGTTCACTGAACTGCTGGGTCAAAACTCGATGAGGTGAATTTTGCGTTAAAGAGTTTACTTGCTAACCAGTTTTGAATAGCCATGAGAGTGCTATTTGATATCACAACAGTGGTAGTGTACACATTTGACTGTTTAGCCTTTGGGCTCTCTAGCACTTGACGGAGCCTTAAGTCAATGTTGCTAAATAATGAACTGTTTTCTGGATGGTTGGTAATACTGTGGACGCCTCAAAATTAGGACTGTACGAAAATGTACATTCTATCTAATTGCAGGTTTAAAATTGTTGGAAGCAATATATATTTGATCACAACTAACATGTGTAAGAAAAACTGGTTGTGATAAGTATTTCACTGCATGTTTTCATGCAGAAATGAGAATTTTTCAATCTTCTATACTAAGAACTGATCTCAAATGCTCAATACAGAAGGCACACGATGGCATCTGTCTTCAGTGTTGGTGGGGTGTTTTTATTCCTTTGTACACCTGGGGTTTTTTTGTATTGCACTTCTATATAAAATGTGCCTTGAAATAGTTGTAATATATAGTTCAAGGAACACTGCTGGTTATACTGTTGTATTGTGAAACTCTTGGGATGAACGAGAATTGAACAGGTTGTTATTTCTGCATCGTCTCGTTCTCTGAATACAAAGTCAGTATTTTAACAAACCAAAAAAACTTAAATGCATGCATTTTCCTTGGTGGAATCAGTGAAGGAGCCTTTGCTACTCTATTGATGCCTCTGTTCTGTTGTCCCAAGTTACTTGTAAGAGTAGCAATCCGGGACAGGTGGGAGTGCATGTCTGAGGTGTGTAAAGCGAAATGCAGATTTGGTATAGCATTTATGTGTTTATTTTTTTCCTTAGCAAATTGAGTTCTATTTAGTAATCTGAGGTTTTTATTTTTAAAAGTTGGGCAACATTTTATGACTCAGTCTGATCCTAGAAAATTCAGTTTTAAATTAAAAAAAAAAAAGGTATCCAGGTGTCACAGAAGGTGATGTATTCTAACTGTTTTGATGACTTTTACTAAGATGGCATTACGTATTTTTTAACTCAGAAGTATATTAACTCAGAAGTATCTTAACTGTTTGTGCTTCAGATGATACGGGATCGAAGAGTAGTGTACTTACACAGGTTTATTTTTTTTGCATGAGTAATGACTTAACAGCAAAAGAAAAACCTACAGAAAAACTTTACCTTTTTAAAAGTGATACATCTGGAATGATTTTACTATAGCAGTATCTAAGATTTTAATGATCTAGCATCAAAACAGAGGTAAGACTTGCATTAATAAATTGTTAACATGTTACCAAGCCATTTGTAAAGCTCACTATAATGTGCGGATAGAGGCATGCTGTGCAAATTGCTTGTTTAACTTGGAGTTCAGAAAATTATTTAATACATTTAGATACAGGTTGGTGGTTTTCTTAAGTCCTCAGGCTCTAAATGCGTGGGTACAACTGAGGAGAGACAAGTAACTTACCACTTTCTTTCAAGCAAAAGTATCAAAAGATAATTTTGTTATTTCTGTAGCTACAATGTACCCTAATATGCATCATACAATTTTAAGTCAGTGGTGTGAATGTGCATAATTAATGTATGCAGCAGCTGAAATACAGAAAATTAGAGTTATTTCCTGGTAAATAATTGAGGCTGTCTTCGTTAACTGGGTTAAGATGTTACTGATTTTTATTTCTGGAAAGGTAAAGAAATGATGACTCATGTAAAGTATTTATAGAATTTTTTTCATTCCCCCCCTTTTAATTGCTCTAATTGTCCATCCTTGTATGCAACTACTCTTACTTCACGGCATCTGACCTAGTTTTTGGAAGAGGTGATGCTGTGATTCAGATCACTAACTGGTGTTCTTAGGGCAACGTGTTCACTGCAACCCTAAGAGGTTGGGTTCTGGGCCTTAACCATAGATAAGGGTGTACAGCATAATCATTGCTGATGTCTGGAGGGAGAAATAAAAGGGCATGTAATCAAAGGAATGGCTATGCTAAGCTATTTCAACCATCGTTAAACACAGAGTATACACTTGGATTAAAAATTAATAGAAATGTCATTTGCAGTAAGCCTAGTACAACAAACACTAGTCTTCTGAAATTTAACCACTTATATTCTTACAGGTTCTGTTGCATGTATGTTCAAGAGGATTTGTGAAAAAATTCCAAATTTAGTTTTACAGCTAATAGGAGTTATCTTAATAGTTACTGGATTTTATATTCTTGCATGTGTTGTCTTTTTTATAAATTGCCACGGGAGGTTACTTGGTGCCATACTAGTTCAGAACATCTGGAAAAATTTGATGGGAAGAAATAGCATTATAGGTAACTATGCAAATTTCTATACAGGTAATAAATATTTTACATTTTGGCAGGAGTTAACATGAAGAAATTAATGGGATTCTAAAATTGTCCCAATTCCAAGGTAACTGGTACTTGCTAATTCTACAGTTGACATTGTTTTGTGAAGAGAAAAGCATTAAATGACTTAAGCGCTGTGAACTTCTTCAACTTGTAGTCATGATGAATACCGTAACAGGAATTTGCAAATGGCTAAAAATCATTGCATGTCTGCCTAATAACTTTTGGGATATGTCACATTGGTTATCTCCAAAGTGGTCCTGCTTTACACAGAATGAACATCTCTAAGGAAACTTGCATCTTAAGTGTGCGCCTGGGACTGTATTAGGTCAGCACAATTTAAACTTCAAGGACCTGGCATTGGACATCACATCAAGAAAGAAAACGGGTTGCTGCCTTTAGCAGAGTTTCAGGCTTCCAGGACTTTACACAGCCAGATTCCTTCTGGAGCAGCCCATCTGAAAGATTTGGGAGAGTCAGTTGAAAAATGTTAAATGGGGCAGAGTTGGCAGAACTTAAAAGTTGACTAAGGCTTGAATGCTTAAAAGGTAGTTGATAAGGAAATTATTATTTTAAATTCTTTCGGTTGGGTATTTTGGTTGCAGGAGAGAACCGTGGCTGTGAATTGTAGCAGAAATTTCCTGTTCTACTTTTTTGATCCTCAAAATTTCAATCTTTGTCACTTGTTTAAAAGCAAACAAACAAAAAATTAAATGACCTTCCTGGTCTTGAAAAGTAATGCAAGTCCTGCCATTGAATTCACAATAAACCTGTTCAAGTTTGGGTTGGGTTTTTGGGGTTGGTGTTTTTTTTTTTCTTCGTTGGCAGAGCTTACACTTTTGTAGAGAAGAGGACAGCTTCATTATGTTGCTGAGCCTGTTAAAAGGAGAACTGTTTGTGGTTGCTATCCTGACTTTGGCAGACCAAGAGTCTTAAAGGACTTTAATTCTTCTCTTTTATGGAGTCAGCTGTATTGCCTATATATTAATTTGCATACTACTTCCTATAATGCTCTACAATGCAATTTTTATATTGAAGATTAAAGATGTGTGATGTTACCCATTTAGTAAAGAAAATCTTGTCAGTTCAAAATATGTTTTTCCTGCGTGTTTCCCATTTCTTTCAGAAACTGGACATCTTAATGATCATTACTCATTATCTGAAATCTGTCATTCTAAAGGAAGTAGATTAATAACATACTCCTTCCTTAATTTCCTGCCAATTTTTAACTACATTTTATTTTCTCCTCACCATGCAAGATGTGCTTAAGAAAAGCTGACCATAGAAATCATGAAACAGACTGTGTACGTTACTGTCAAATATATAAACTGAGTTGAAAAATAGACATCTAATTTTTTGAACAAGAGTACCTGGACAGCATTCAAAAGAATGTCTAAGCCTCTTAAAGAAAAATGGATGTCACTATGAAAAATGAACATGGGGTTTAATATTCTACCCCAAGCAACTTTCTTCTCTTCACCCAAATTTAAATATTAAATTTTACTAGCACAATAAATGAAGGTTTTTGTTTATAATTCAGTTTACACATAAAATTTTATGCAGTGCTTGATCTTTTGAATTACAAAATTACATTTTGAAGGCACATCTTTAATCAGATATTTAACTCCATTGAGAATTAGCACATGCAAGATTGTGCATACTGATAATCCAGATGTTGGTATCAAAAAAAGAACAATATGCTTATTCGTATTTGCAGTAATAAAACTTGCCTTCCACTTTATGGGACAGCGACAGAAGATCAACTGGCGTTGGAACAGCACGTGGTAACTATAGGGAGACTTTCTGCTATGACAATTATGTTGAGGCATAATGTTCCTTGAATTGTGACATGCAGAAATTACATCTCCTTTTTGTCTGTAATTGTGATTGAGGAAGATTACTGAAGGTTTTATATGCATTTTGTGATAGATGGCTCTTTCCTTTGCAGCCAAACAGGCAAAAAGTTAATGGCGAAGTGTCGAATGCTTATCCAGGAGAATCAAGAGCTTGGAAGGCAGCTGTCCCAAGGACGTATTGCACAGCTTGAGGCAGAGTTGGCTTTACAGAAGAAATATAGTGAGGAACTTAAAAGCAGTCAGGATGGTAAGGGATTTTTTTAAGAAAATGGAAGATGCCTTGCACTTCTGCTAGTTTCATTTCCTGATGATACACATACTGTAAAACCATCTTTGCCAGAATGAAACGGCAATATCGAGTACAATTTGACAATTGTAAGTCTTCACTGGTAGTCTTTATTTAACAAAAAATATAAAAATAAACAAACTTAACTTTGGGGGACTGGTGGGATTTGCAGCTCCAGTAATGCAGTGTTTGAATTTGAAATTGCCAGATTTCTACTGTAGGTCTTGCTATTTAATAAGGAACGTTTAGACTGCACACATTGTTGGTGAATTGGTAAGATGAAAGCTGTTAAACGTTGCATGAAGCTAAGCATGCACTGAGAACAGAATGCTTGTTAACTCTGACTCATTTTGAAATTAATTTTAAAAAATCAACAACTTTTTAACAATGCCTAAGTATAAAAATAGATTTTTTTTGTTGTTGTTTAGGTAACTCAGATGAACAAAAATACCTCATTATTGCGTTCACAGTCCAAATTTTACAGCATTGTAAACCTAAATTGAAATTACCTATAAACTCTGACCTCTTGCATAATCTAAATGGAGGGAAAAATGCAAATTTAAAAAATCTTCAGTTGAGAGTTCTGCCTAGAATTAGTGGTTTTTTGGCAGAATGTTACAGAGTAGGTTATCCGATTATTACAATAAATCTTGGGACATGAGCTATTTAGACACATAAAGCTCGATATGTTCTTGTTTTATAACTGAAGTCCATAAAATAGCACAGACTTGATTTGGCATTATCCAAGTCTGACATATCCTGTATTTTTAAGGATTCCCCCCGGCCATAGGATCATATTTTTGAGAAAGTAGCAGTATAAAATAATATATAATAACTAGAATTCTTAAGGTAAATTATTCTTTCTGTAATTACATGTTGTTGGAATAGTTACCCTTTTGCTTCTTAAACACTATTTCGATAATGCACTTCATCTGAATTTATCAAGTTCATAATTGAAGCAAGCATGGACATTCTTTAAAGATTTCTGCTCTTGAATGCAGTATAGTAAAGTAACCTTCAGAACTGAGATGTTTTCTTAGCCCCTATTGCTTCTTTCTCCATATGAACAAAGACTAGTAATCCTGCAATATCAGTTTTCCTAATGATTTTTTTTCCATAGCAGCAAGAACATTTTAATTTTATGAATTTTTACAATAATAAGCAGTTTGCATTTTATTTGCTCCATCATATCAATGATGCAGTTGAATTGAAGACTAAGGGATTCAGTGTTTCTTTTACTGTTTTCAGGTCAAATTTGTTTTGCTCCAAAATGCAATCTAATTGTAAAATCCTTTTTCTTGGTACATAAGTAATAAAACACCCTGTGGAATTAGTTAGCAGTTTTTTTGGTAAAAAAGTCTTTCTTTTAGTGTCCTGTTATGCAGGATTTAAAGGATTAAGAGCAGTAAGAGCTGAAATTGCCTTGAAATGTGACTAAAATCTTTGTTTTGTCACTGAGTAGGTTTTTGTAATTATACAGATCTATTATATACAGGTGCGGTTCATGGTCACTTTTACAGTATTTCTGCTAAGGTTTTATACTTGAGTAAAAGTAGATACATGAGGATTTACTTGCAAAATACTAATTGTTGGAATTGAGCTGTTTTCCAGATATCCTCCTTTCTTGCCCAGAAATTAGTTTCTTCTCCTATATTCTCATATATTCTGAGTAGCAGTATAATGAGTATGTAGATAATAGTTAAGCATTTCCTCCTTCAGAGGCAGAGTATCAAAACCAGTGCATACCTGATGGCTGAAGAATAGTCTGTTGAAAAATCGCAGCATAAAATGTTGAGTTACAGGGTTTTAATTTTTTTGTCTTGAGATTCAAGCTATATATGGGCTATTAAGTGTTTGCAACAAATGTGTTTTCTTTATATAGAGTTGAATGACTTCATCATCCAGCTTGATGAGGAGGTAGAGGGTATGCAGAGTACCATTCTAGTTCTTCAGCAGCAGTTGAAGGAGACTCGCCAGCAGTTGGCGCAGTACCAGCAGCAGCAGTCCCAGGCCTCCAACCCAGGTACCAGCAGGACTCCATCTTCTGAGCCCACAGACCAGGGAGAGGCTGTGGGTAAAGACTGCAGCCGCCTAGCAAACGGACCAAGCAATGGTAGCTCCTCCCATCAGCGGACATCTGGGCCTGGATTTTATAGGGAGGGTAGCGGCACGGAAGATGACTTCCCAGCTTCTCCAGGGAATGGTAATAAGCTGTCCAACCACTCTGAAGATAGAACTGGTAGAGGAGGTGGTAGCTACATAAACCAGCTCAGTACTGGGTATGAAAGTGTAGACTCTCCCACTGGCAGTGAAAACTCTCTCACTCACCACTCAAATGACACAGACTCCAATCATGATCCTCAAGAGGAGAAAACAGTGAGCATGAAAGGTAACAGAACTGTGGGTTCTCGTCATGTCCAGAATGGTTTGGACTCCAGTGTAAATGTGCAGGGTTCAGTTTTGTAACATTTTTCTGCAACATTTTTATACAGTGTCATTTAAATTGGGAGAGGATACTGTCCAGAAGCCGTTTAAATTAGTGCATACTTGTCACAATTTTGCCTTTTTGTGGGTTTCTTTTTGCTTCAATACCTCTGCCACTTTGGAAATTTTAACAGTTAATTACGTTGAATGTTGCTAAAAGGACGTTTGTGTAGCTCAAGTTATTTTTATATGAGTTAATGTGAAGTTGAAATGGAAATTATTTCCATAAAGTATAACATAAATGATGTCTGTACAAATCTGTGTATATCTAGAACCTGTGCTGTGTAAGGGCATTCTTACTCATACTGTTATACTTACACCACCTTCAAGATTTGTCATAATAGCTGTGGGTTTATGACTGCCAAGTTTGCCCAGTACAGTAGTTTTATCACTAAAAGAGGGACTTACTGAAGGAGTCCTGTAGTAGTTTCAGTGTTAATTACAGTTTTTCCCACCATACATCTGTGCATTTTCTCCTTAGGTGACCGAATGTTTATGAATTGTGTGCATAGTTACTCAGTTTTTAAGAACTGTTGTATCCTGTTTATGCATATTGCTCTGTGACTCCAATATTATCTTACCTGTACTGACCAAACCTAAATAAAAACTTTTAATAATGTAATTTCCTCATTGTTCTGCATTGGCTTACAAGGCTTATTTGTATGCAGTGTATTTACAGTACTTGCTTTTTTTAATTGAATTTGTTTGTGTGTCAATCCTGTCTGATACAGCTTATGCAAATATCTGAAGTTACAGGTGTGTACTATCATACTAATTTCAGGCCAGCCTGATAGCACTTATTCTACAGATTTTGTCCTTACTGGCAGATAAGGAGGGAGGGTGGGGGGAGAAGGAAAAAAGGAGAAAGTTATTAAAAGTAAACCTTATAGTTGGAACCTGGCTTTTATAAAGATTTTAAAAAAAAAAAAAGTATCCAACAGGTAAATACACAAATTAAACTACAAAACTTTAAGGAGTTAGTAATTCAGCCTCTGAAACCAGGTGTAACTCCTGTTGTTTTTAAATGCCTGCTGACTTCCTAACAGGTGCAGAGAATGAAAAAATTACCTTTAATTGAGCATATTTCTATTGTTCAGTAGCAATGAGTTATGAATTTCTCAGAACCTGAATTTCTGGTTATTATTTTCTATCTACTAGTTTAGTGATGGTAGCACATAAGCAAAGAGGTGGGAAAGCACTGGCTTTTAAGCACTGTTCAAAGGGAAAATAGAAGTACTTAGTATACTTTTGGGTACATTTAAGTCCAGTTTCAACATTTTTCCACCTGTGAATCTTGTAATTACTAGATAACTAATAAAATTATCTCATGTAGCCACTAAAACAATAGTAAACAGCTTATAGCTTTGCAATTCACCGTGGAAACAGTGAAACTCGTGTTTGAAAGCAGTATTTCTCCAAAGTTCTAGGACATACTTGAATTTGTTTTAAACTTACACAGTTATAATAAATTCCTAGACTATATAAGGGTTTCTGTGGTACCATTTTTAAGTGGTCTATTATATGAGCATTAGCATCTGCAGTAGTATTGTCCGAGACAAATGGATGTAATTGCAATACTACTAGCTGCTGTCATCTGTTAGACATGCTAGTCCGTGTACCACTGCTATTTTAATATCATAGGGTTCACTTCAATGTATTAAAGCCACTTAGTAGTTGTCACTGGAAGCGTAAATTCCATTGGTGATACCTGGTTTTTTTTTGAACATTACCTTAGCCCTTATTGCCTGAAAAATAGTAATTATTAGTTGAATGCATGAAAGGGAAGTGACAAGTATCTATACAAAAAAGTACCAGCATCTGGCACCAAAGTAATTTCTAGTTTACAAAAATCCCTGATGGTGATCTAGATCTGTAGTTGCTGGTGATACTATATTTGGTTTTAGTATCATATTGCTTGATTATCCATAGCGTGTGTATATGCCCATCCCAGATCCTATACATGGTAGAATATAATACTTGTAAGAAGCTTAAAATGCTGATAATAGATTATAACAATGGCTTTATCTGATAATATAGATGGTAAAAAGCCTTGTGGGGAAATCTCTGATCGTGGTTCAAATCTCAGTCTGAAAGCAACTCATACCAAGAAAATGGTAGACAGCTTTTCACCTAGTATAAGGAATTGGAAGGATGTAAAATATCTTTGGAGTTACAGTAATTGCTATTGATTGTGCTAAGGTTAAAAAAAAGCATAGCTTTCAGGCGGTGACAGCGTGCTACTTGAATCTGTCAGTTATAGGACATTCATTTCTTAAAACCTCATATAAAGATGATTTTAATTTTCTCAAGAGTGTGTGGTACTTAATTTTTAAATAGTAAATTAAAGCTTAGCTAAAGAGCTAGAATCAGAAATACAAACTATACTCTCAGACTAGAAGTTAGCTTAACTTGTTGAAGGAACAATTGCAAGGCAAGGTCTTTCTCTGCTTAGAGGGTATCTTCTAAATAAGCAGTCTGGGGTGTTTTATTTGTTTGACTTTTTTTGAAATGAAAGCAACTCAACAGCTGCACCAGTTAGTAACAAAATGCATCATATAGTTGACTTGCTTTCTTGGAACACTTACTGCAAAGCATTAGTGAATTGCAGTATAGTAATACATAGAGAAATGCTAAAATGAGTAATATTCATGTTCTTGCCTGGCTTTCAATGCCTGTATTACGACATTTAACAATCCTGAATGTAGTTGGTTCATTTTAACAAAAGATGACATTTCATTGATCCACCAATAAATACAACATATTCCTCTTTAAAATTAGGTACTGCCTAAATCTTTCTGTATAGATTTTCAGCATTCAGGGAAAATCTTGTTTCCAAACCTCCTGTTGATTTTGGGACAATTCACCTTTTATCCTATCTATTGATAAAGCAGTTATTTTCACTGCTGATTTCTGGAAAGTACCACTGGCTGATAGTTGAAAATAAATTAACATGGTTTTCTAGGGTCCTTCAAGAGTTCGGGGGACGGATACACACTACTGTACTGTGCTCACAGTGGGCCGAGATTACCTGTGTAGGTCTCTCTAGGTGGATTTCTTGGCAATTTCCAAGATAAAGTAATTTATTTTCAAGATAAAGTAGTTTATTTTCAAGAAGGTTTTCCAGACCTAGCCCCCACTGAATTTTTGTAACGTGTTTTTATAGTCTCATAAATGTGGGTTCTGTAAGATCTTAGAATATATGTTTGTTTAAAAAGACAAAAACCAAAATATTGAGGGTTTTGTGGTAGCAGAGATTATTTCCATACAATTAAAATTTTACCTAATGTTTGTCTTGTCTGCAGAGTGCCTCCTAACACTGAGGGAAGAGTTCTCACTGACCTTTCTGGAGAACCAATTTTTAATGTGTCTTTGAACTCATTTGCACTAACTACACCGATTATTTTAGCTGATGGGGTTAAGGTACCGGAATGAAGGATTTTCATCAGCACTAAAGGCCGTTGAATTGCTACCAGGGGGAAAACAGATGTTGGGAAACAAGATGCGCACAAAAATGAGGACAGGAACAGAAATGAACCAAGAAAATAAGTCGTAGACAAAACAGCTGAAAAGGTATTTGTAAGTGTTGCTGCTCCAGTCAGTAAACTGACAGAAACATTTCTTTGGCAGGCAGGTTTTCAGAGCTGTCTTGTACTGCTGTATCCTCTCTGGTGCCCAACAGCCGTACAACAGGCAGAAGCTCCTGGCAGGCAATTTTCTGCTTGCTAGAGGCTCCTCTTAGGCTAGTCCTCCTCCTTCGCTTCTGAGGCGGGCAAGGCCCGACACCAACCGACCTTCCACGGGAGCGAAGCTCAGCCCCCTCAGCTTCGCCCGCCCTCGGCGCCGCCGGCGGGGCGGGCGGTGTCGAGGGCGGGAGGGTACGCGGTTG